CTAATCCCGAACAAAAGAGCCCCAAAGCCGAGGCGATGGACGGAGCTCGCCTGCCACGGCAATCCGCCGCCTCCCCGTTCCGGGCATCAGGCGCATTCCGCAGAAGGTTTTTCTTGGGGGGTTTAGGGTTCAGGGTTTTGGGTCCAGGGTTTTGGGTCCAGGGTTTAGGGTTTAGGGATTTAGGGATTTAGGGTTTCGGGTTTAGGGGTTTAGGGTTTAGGAGGTCTGCAAGGTTTTTTCTCGGATGTTTAACAGTGCTGTTTTGTCTTTTGCAGGATCTTGAAGTGTGTTTTGTAGGGTTTCGTAGGATTTGTTATCGACTTAACGGGGATTCTCGTGGAGTTTTCGAAAGGGCTTAAAGGTGCTGTAGGGTGTCGGAGGTCTTCGGGATGTGGGGTTTACGTTGGGGGTTTCGGTTGAGGTTTTGTAGGGGTCCTACTGGGGAGTTTTGATAAGGGTGTAGTTTGGGTTTCATTATGGGGTTTCGGGCTTCTAAGCCGCTAAACCCCTAAGCTTAGCATAAACCCGTAAACGCTGAGCCCCAAAGCCCTTTCTCTAAACACCTGAACCCCAAAGCCCCTGTATTAACCCCTTAATCCTGAACCATCTGTCTCGATACCACCCTTGTAGAAGTCGAGAAGGCCCTTGTGGAGCCCCAGGCCTTAACACGGGTTTAGGGCTTTTACCCTAAAGCCTCTCCTTCTTGCCCTAAACCCTAAACCCTAAACCCCTCAACCCGAAACCCCTAAACCCCGAAACCCCGAAACCCTAAAGCCTAAACCCTAAAGCCTCTCCTTCTGGCCACCTCTTTCGAGGCCTTCGCAAAGGATGGTTCCCTGGAAAAATTGGGGCGTGAATCATTGCCATTACTACTACCATCACTGCTGCTACTGCTGCCGCTATTGCTGCTATATACTACTACTGCTGCTGCTGCTGCTACTACTACTACTACTACTACTACTACTACTACTACTGCTACTACTACTACTACTACTATGGCTCGGGGTTCCTTATCATACTTACTCCACCCAGGACCCTGTTCGAGTTTCGTCGGCACCTGTTCTGTAAGCGTCATCCTCCGGGTGTTTCAGTTTTCCGTCTCCTCCCCTGGAATTATAGGATCCTTAAGGGAGGGTGGTTCAAGGGGGGAGGGTATAAGGAATCCTTAGGGGACTGTAAGGGAACCTTTGGGAGTACTAGGGAGGATTAGGGATCACTAGGCTATATACCCCCCTTGGACCCCCCTCCCTTAATACTACAATTGGTGGGAGATCTTGCAGCCACCACACACTCTTGAACACAACCCCCAAGGAGCCCTCCGTCGATCTCCACCAAAAGGCTATAATCTAAACCTTGAGCCGTAAGCCCTAAGTCCAGCCGAGAGAGGGCTAGTGCACTTAAAAAATGCCCTAAGTCCTGAATCCTGCACTGAAACCGGAAGCCCTACACGCACCAAACTCTTCCAACTCTGCATGCTTAACGTTTTGGAGGTTTGGGCTTTTCGGTTCAGGGTTTAAGGTGAACAAGCACTAGATTTAGTTTAGGGTTTAGGGTTTAGGGCTTGGGGGTTAGGGGTCCACGAGTTCAGTGATCAGGATTTCGCTTGAAGGTTCAGGGTTGAAGGTTCAGTTTGCAGACTTGCTTCGGTCCTGGCAAAGGACAAGGTTGAGGATCTATGGTTAGTTTAGGATTGCTGTGGCTCTTCTCATGTGGTACAAAATCTGTACGGAGGTATTGCTTTCGAGTATGGAGGCTGTTGCAATGCCAATGCTAATCCTTGAGAAGTAAACCCTGAACTGTATGAACTAAGTTCTATAGCCTGAGCTAAGCCCTAAAGGGCTTTTGGATGTGTGGGCTTTTGGGCTTCGCATTCCGGGGTTAGACATGACCGTAAACCTTGAATCTAGGGGCTTTAATAAATAAGAATAGAGTTTAAGGATTCATTATGCTATAACTATAATAAGGACCCCCCCCGCCCCAAAACCCTATTCTAACTATTATGGCCCTACATCAGCTCTGAACCAGAATCGGAATCGGCTGCCTGAGGCTGTGTGTACATATTCGGCGGCTGGAACAACGAGCAGCAGTTCAACGACCTGTTCATGCTGGACATTGAAAACAAGGCCATGCCCCTCCAAATCTTAATCCTTAAGCCACAACCCTAAACCCTAAACCCTAAACTCTAAACTCTGAACTCTAAACTCTAAAACCCTAAACCCTAAACTCTAAACCCTAAACTCTAAAACTCTAAACCCTAAACCCGAAACCCAAACCTTGAGACCGAAGTCCTGGGCCCGAAGCCTCATTATTGAATCCAACCCGAAGCCTTGTCCCCGACATTTTGTTAGGGCTTAGGGGGTGTCGGGTTTAGGCTTTGAGTTTGGGGGTACAGGCCTGGAGCCCCTCTGGGCCCTGTAACCAGAAACCTAGTAGTAGTAGTAGTAGTAGTAGTAGTAGTAGTAGTAGTAGTAGTAGTAGTAGTAGTAATAATAGTAATAGTAATAGTAGTAATAGTAGTAATCGTAGTAATAGTGGTACAGAAACCCCCCGTAAAACCGTCAAGACTTCGTGTATAGGAGCAGTGGTAGCAGCAGTAGGTGTACTAGTCGTACTGCTACTGCCAGTACTAGGATTACTAGCAGTATTTGTGGTACTACTGCCAGGTACTGGTATCATCAGCTAGCCCCGAATCGAAACAGGACTGGTCAGACGTCGACCTTTCCTGGGGTGTGCCACGCTGGAACTGTGCCTTGGTTTAGCACCTTCGGTTCTAGAGTTCGGCGGATCTGCGTGGACGCAGAGTCGGCATCCGCAATCCGCGAAGTGGAGGCAGTTACTGAAGAAATGCTGACAGGGAGGGGTCAGGCATTGGTCATAGTTTGCGTCGTCGGGGTCAGGCATTGGTCATAAGTTTGCGTCGTCGTCATTGTTGTTGGGTCACGCGGTGGGTCGGAGTCGCGGTTGGCAGATTTGGAGGCATTGGTAACAACCCCTACGAAGCCCTCACTGGACCCGTGACCCACCTCGCAGGACCCAGGTCTTGAACAATACCCTAAACCCTAAACCCTAATCCCCAAGACAGTCGCTGACCTGCGGCCTCACAAGTTAGAGGCTCCCTGCACCCTCAACCTGGAATCTAGAATATACCACAAGAGCCTTAAGATCCCTAATCCCTCAACCCTTAGCCCTAATCCCTTAATCCCTACACCCCCACACCCCAAAGAGCCCTAAGCCTCAAGCCTAAGGTACCCCAAGAGGCTTAAGAGCCCTAAACCCTTCACCCTTTACCCTAAACCCCTAAAGCCCTGCACCCTAAGAGCCCCAAGAGCCTCAAGCCTAAGGCTCTCTGCAGCTCGTGGAAGCCATCCCATCTTGGCGGGTCTTCGTCTTTGGCGGCACCGCCGATGTCTACGGCGCCGGGGTTGCCCATTTAAGTCAGGGTTTCGGGCTGAGGATGTAGGGTTCTCTTTAAGGGTTCCTTGTTCAGGACCCTCCGGGGGCTTCGGTTTAGGGCTTAGGGTACATATGGGGATTAGGGGATAAGGTCTGAGTGCACGGTATAGTTTAATGTTTTATTTGGTGTTTGTGTTTTCCTGGGTTTTTGACGTCCGTTGAGGCTTTACAGTCTGCTGCTGGAAGGGGATGGCCCCGTTCGGGGTTCAGGCGGTGTAGGGTTTCAGGATCACCAGAATCCCGAGCCTTGAACCCCTAGGGTCCTAATTCCTCTCAGGCTGCTGGTTTCTGGCGGTGTAGGGTTTCGAGCTTTCAGGGCTGAGGGGGCTTGTTTCAGCGTCTAGGCACTACGGCCTGCAGCCGGCTGCAAAAAGGTGCTCTGAAACTCTAAAACCATCAGCGCCGAAGAGGCCACATCCCTAAACCCTTGCATATTAGGGGTTCTCTGCTTCAGTCGATATCCCAAAACTCCAGACCTTGACGCTGAATCTTAAGCCTTAAATCCCGAAGTCGCTTTAGGCCCAAAGTCTTCTACCCAACTTACGTTTGGTTAGTAGGGAATGGAGGAATAGGGTACAATTATAACTACTATTACTACCACTCTTCCATTCCCTACAAACCAAAGGTAAGCCCACCACAAACAGGCGAGGGCCGCACCGGGGGCGTTTTCGACAACAAGATCGGGGTGCTAGCAGCTTGCCAGCAAGCAGTACCGAAACGGGTTCAGTTCTAAGCGCTGAGGCTTAGGGCCCGGCGTAAGTTAGGTTAGAGGTACCTTAAGTCAGGATGAGAGCAATACAAACTTTAGGAATCATGTGTATAACCCAATTTACGAAGTCCTACGACCCTTGAGAGGATTGATATGGCAGTTTCGGGCTTAAGGGATTCTTGCTTGAGAGTTTCTTGGAATGTAGGGGTTCCTAAGCCCCAAGCCGGAATAGACTGTTTAAAAATTGAAGCCTTCAACCCATAACCCTGCACTTTGAAGTGATAGGATGTTACTCATAGGCCGTACATGTCAAACCTAAACCCTAAACCCGGGCTAGTAGAGTGCAGGACTTTGGGATGGCACTGGGGGTGTGCTCTTAATACCGGTCTCGGTCCTGATGTATCGGGGGGCATAACCTCATAGTCTCCTTCGGAATTATTTTGATTCTTGTTTTTTTTCTGAAACCGAAGAGAATATTCATAATATTGGTTTTTATTGTGGGTCCACGAGGAGTCACGTACCAGATAGAGGTAGAGTTTAGAAGGGCCCCCACCCTGTAATAGTGACTATAAGGATCATATTAGGGCCCTATAATATTCCTACTATACCACTATTACAGGGTGGGGGCCACTTCTAAGGTAGAGTCCGAGGGCTCCGAAGTTGAAGAGGTTTCATTGGGCTCGCTCTGGAGTGGCACTCATCGGAAGCCTGCTGACAAGCCTACTTGTAGGTCAAGGCACTTTTGGGTCTCTTGGGTTTAGGGTTTAGGTCAGGCACTGTTTGGAAAAAAGCTTCTGTGCTAGTCTTCAACGGTGCACCTCAAGCCCTAAGTGCCACAAATTAAAACCTAAGGCCAAAACAGTCCGAAAATGATAAACCTTAGCATATGACATTGATGTAAAGAGCTCCCCCCGGCACACTAGTCGAATTCTCAGGCTTCCATATTATGTCCTAAACCTTAAACCCAGACCTTAAATCCCTATGGCCTAAACCCCTAAGCTGCTGTGACCTTGAATCCCTAATCCCTAAACCCCACCCCTAAACTGCTGTGACAGCCTTGAACCCTAGGCCCTGAACCCACGAAAACAAGACTAAACTGCTGTGACCTTTCATCCCTAAGCCCCGGAAAACAACCCTAAACCCTAAACCCACAAAGAACAACCCTAAACCCCAGCAAAACAACCCTAAAACCACCAAAAAAACAATCCCTAAACCGCTGACTCCCCCGAAACCAACCCTAAACCCTAACTTCCCCGAAAACGACCCTAAACTGCTGACAGGACATGGGGGAGCCCATGAGGTGGAGCGATCCGACCCTGGACATGAAAGGGGAGGACTTCCGGGGGGCTGAAGGTTTAGAGCTTGGGGTTTGGGGTTTAGAGTTTAGGGAGGTTTAGAGCTTAGAGTTTAGGGTTTAGGGGAAGGGGACTTGGGAATAGTAGGTTATAAGAAGGGTTATGGTTGGGGTAATTCAATTTTTGTACTTATAACCACACTTAGAACCTACTTACTTATATAGGGGCCTTAATAATCACCTATACTATTTTGTACGTAGGACCTTTAGGGTCTATTTGACGTATGGCTTTGCTTTGTTTATCAATACTATATCAATTCAAGCTTTTCAGATTTTAAGGATTTTAAAGATTTCAGATGCTTTTAAAATCTTTAATTTTTGAAAACCAAGCTTTTCAGATTTTAAAGGTTTTAAAGATTTTAAAGGCTTTTAAAATCTTTAAAATCTTTAATTTTTGAAAACCAAGCTTTTCAGATTTTAAAGATTTTAAAGGTTTTAAAGATTTTTAAAATTTTAAATAGGTGTCGGTGGCCTGGAGCCCAGACCTAACGATTTAAAATTTTAAAAATCTTTAAAATCTTTAAAATTTAAAAAACCTAAGCTTTTCAGATTTTAAGGATTTTAAAAATTTTAAAGGCTTTTAAAATCTTTAAAATCTTTAATTTTTGAAAACCAAGCTTTTCAGATTTTAAAGATTTTAAAGATTTTAAAGACTTTTAAAATTTTAAATAGGTGTCGGTGGCCTGGAGCCCAGACCTAACGATTTAAAAATTTAAAAATCTTTAAAATCTTTAAAATCTTTAAAATATAAAAAACCTAAGCTTTTCAGATTTTAAGGATTTTAAAAATTTTAAAGGCTTTTAAAATCTTCAAAGTCTTTAATTTTTGAAAACCAAGCTTTTCAGGAGCCCAGACCTAACGATTTAAAATTTTAAAAATCTTTAAAATCTTTAAAATCTTTAAAATTTAAAAAACCTAAGCTTTTCAGATTTTAAAGATTTTAAGGATTTTAAATGCTTTTAAAATCTTTAAAATCTTTAATTTTTGAAAACCAAGCTTTTCAGATTTTAAAGATTTTTAAGATTTTTAAAATTTTTAAAATTTTAAATAGGTGTCGGTGGCCTGGAGCCCAGACCTAACGATTTAAAGTGGCCTGGAGCCCAGACCTAACGATTTAATATTTTAAAAATCTTTAAAATCTTTAAAATTTAAAAAACCTAAGCTTTTCAGATTTTAAAGATTTTAAAGATTTTAAAGATTTTTAAACTTTTAAATAGGTGTCGGTGGCCTGGAGCCCAGACCTAACGATTTAAAATTTTAAAAATCTTTAAAATCTTTAAAATCTTTAAAATATAAAAAACCTAAGCTTTTCAGATTTTAAAGATTTTAAAGATTTTAAAGGCTTTTAAACTCTTTAAAATCTTTAATTTTTGAAAACCAAGCTTTTCAGATTTTAAAGATTTTAAAGATTTTAAAGATTTTTAAAATTTTAAACAGGTGTCGGTGGCCTGGAGCCCAGACCTAACGATTTAAAATTTTAAAAATCTTTAAAATATTTAAAATTTAAAAAACCTAAGCTTTTCAGATTTTAAAGATTTTAAAGATTTTAAAGGCTTTTAAAATCTTTAAAATCTTTAATTTTTGAAAACCAAGCTTTTCAGATTTTAAAGATTTTAAAGATTTTAAAGATTTTTAAACTTTTAAATAGGTGTCGGTGGCCTGGAGCCCAGACCTAACGATTTAAAGTGGCCTGGAGCCCAGACCTAACGATTTAAAATTTTTAAAATCTTTAAAATTTAAAAAACCTAAGCTTTTCAGATTTTAAAGATTTTAAAGAATTTAAAGGCTTTTAAAATCTTTAAAATCTTGAATTTTTGAAAACCAAGCTTTTCAGATTTTAAAGATTTTAAAGATTTTTAAAATTTTAAATAGGTCTCGGTGGCCTGGAGCCCAGACCTAACGATTTAAAATTTTGAAAATCTTTAAAATATTTAAATTTTTTAAAATGTAAAAAACCTAAGCTTTTCAGATTTTAAAGATTTTAAAGATTTTAAAGATTTTAAAGATTTTGAAGGCGTTTAAACTCTTTAAAATCTTTAATTTTTGAAAACCAAGCTTTTCAGATTTTAAAGATTTTAAAGATTTTAAAGATTTTTAAACTTTTAAATAGGTGTCGGTGGCCTGGAGCCCAGACCTAACGATTTAAAATTTTAAAAATCTTTAAAATCTTTAAAATCTTTAAAATCTTTAAAATATAAAAAACCTAAGCTTTTCAGATTTTAAAGATTTTAAAGATTTTAAAGGCTTTTAAACTCTTTAAAATCTTTAATTTTTGAAAACCAAGCTTTTCAGATTTTAAAGATTTTAGAGATTTTAAAGATTTTTAAAAATTTTAAATAGGTGTCGGTGGCCTGGAGCCCAGACCTAACGATTTAAAATTTTAAAAATCTTTAAAATCTTTAAAATTTAAAAAACCTAAGCTTTTCAGATTTTAAAGATTTTAAAGATTTTAAAGATTTTAAAGGCTTTTAAACTCTTTAAAATCTTTAAAATTTAAAAAACCTAAGCTTTTCAGATTTTAAAGATTTTAAAGGCTTTTAAAATCTTTAAAATCTTCAATTTTTGAAAACCAAGCTTTTCAGATTTTAAAGATTTTAAAGATTTTAAAGATTTTTAAAATTTTAAATACTGGCCCTCAGCCCCCAGCCTCTAGCTCCAGCCCCCTGACCCAGCCAGCTCCCAGCCCAGCCCTAGCCGCCCGCCCCCACCCCAGCCCCTTCCCCCTGCCCTCCAACCTGCCCATGACCCAGCCAGCTCCCAGCCCCCCCACCACCGAACCTGTCATCACCTTTATCACCCTTTTGTCACCTTTTGTCACCCTTTATCACCTTTATCACCTTTCATCACCTTCCCACCTTTTCCCAGCCCCAACCCCTATCCAACCCCGACCCTCGACCTGTCCCAGGCCATCCCAGCCCCAGCCCAGCATCACACCCTTCCTGTCCACCCCTTCCCCACCCCGTCCTATCCACCCTCTCCCCTCCTACCCTCCCTCCTTATCATCTTTACTATCATCTTATCATCCTTTTTCATTTTTTTTATTATCCTTATTATATTTTATCATCCAGCGGAAGAGGTGTCACTGTAGCGGTGCTAACACCAAAAATATGACACATTTTCCGCGGAAAATGTGTCACTATTGCGGTGCTGAAACTAAAAACACCTACCCCTTGTTTTCACGCCGTATTTACAGGTGTTTTGCTGGACCACAGGTCACTTCCGCCAGACTTTGCCAGCAGATGTGTGAAATCCCTGGCCCTTGTTTTAATTCGGTATTTACAGGACCACAGGTCACTTCCGCCAGATTTTGCCAGCAGATGTGTGAAATCCCTAGCCTTACAAGATCCCGAGGGCTGAAGACAGGGAGGGGTAGATCGGTTTTTATAGTGTTCCAAAAGCATTCCAGAAGCATTCCTGAAAAACGTGCGGAAAGCATTCAGATTTTGATGCAGAGCTGAGAAGTATTCCAAAATGCGTTCCACGGGGACCCTCTGACCAAAAAGTGTTCCAAAAAGCATTCCAACGGAGCGCTTTGCAGAACACTTTCCGGAGCATTTTTTTGGAACGCTTTTTGGAATGCTTGTGACCTGGATCTGGAGAGGACGGGCCCCCGAAAAGGCATTCCAAAAAGCATTCCAAAAAGTGTTCTCAAAAAAGCGTTCCGCCAATGACCTGCTGCTGAAAAAGTATTCCAAAAAGTGTTCCAAGATGTGTTTCCAGCCGGAAGCTTTCAGATTCAAGGGTGCTCCCTCGGAATGCTTTTCGGCACACTTTCGAAGCTGGAACACTATTCCCCACGCTTTTCTGGAACACATTCGGAATGCTTTTTGGAACACTATTAATCAATAATCAGGATTCAGGCCTTTGGCTCCTGGGGGATCTTGTAATCTTACTACTGCTGTTATCTCTTACTATTACAAGATCCCGAGGGCTGAAGAAAGGGAGGGGTAGATCGGTTTTTATAGTGTTCCAAAAGCATTCCAGAAGCATTCCTGAAAAACGTGCGGAAAGCATTCAGATTTTGATGCAGAGCTGAGAAGTATTCCAAAATGCGTTCCACGGGGACTCTGACCAAAAAGTGTTCCAAAAAGCATTCCAACGGAGCGCTTTGCAGAACACTTTCCGGAGCATTTTTTTGGAACGCTTTTTGGAATGCTTGTGACCTGGATCTGGAGAGGACGGGCCCCCGAAAAGGCATTCCAAAAAGCATTCCAAAAAGTGTTCTCAAAAAAGCGTTCCGCCAATGACCTGCTGCTGAAAAAGTATTCCAAAAAGTGTTCCAAGATGTGTTTCCAGCCGGAAGCTTTCAGATTCAAGGGTGCTCCCTCGGAATGCTTTTCGGCACACTTTCGAAGCTGGAACACTATTCCCCACGCTTTTCTGGAACACATTCGGAATGCTTTTTGGAACACTATTAATCAATAATCAGGATTCAGGCCTTTGGCTCCTGGGGGATCTTGTAACCCTAGCCCATGTTTTAGCGCGGTATTTACAGGTGTTTTGCTGGACCACAGGTCACTTCCGCCAGATTTTGCCAGCAGATGTGTGAAATCCCTAGCCCTTGTTTTCATGCGGTATTTACAGGTGTTTTGCTGGACCACAGGTCACTTCCGCCAGATTTTGCCAGCAGATGTGTGAAATCCCTAGCCCTTGTTTTCATGCGGTATTTACAGGTGTTTTGCTGGACCACAGGTCACTTCCGCCAGATTTTGCCAGCAGATGTGTGAAATCCCTAGCCCCTTGTTTTCAGCGCGGTATTTACAGGTGTTTTGCTGGACCACAGGTCACTTCCGCCAGATTTTGCCAGCAGATGTGTGAAATCCCTAGCCCTTGTTTTCATACGGTATTTACAGGTGTTTTGCTGGACCACAGGTCACTTCCGCCAGATTTTGCCAGCAGATGTGTGAAATCCCTAGCCCTTGTTATAGCGCGATATTTACATGCTTTCTGCTCGGTCGCGGCTCGGGCAGGGAAGGCTGG